CACACACACACACACACACACACACACACACACACACACACACACACACCTGTGTTCCTTGGCACGCTCCTATTTATAAGTGGGTGAGCTCTCACTTGAGGTGGTGGGCCAATCCTTGTGTCAATCATCTAGAGGAGAGAAATACTTTGGGAAGCGAGGATTTAGCCTTACCTCTTGCTGGGCCTTGCAGTCTTGGGGTTGGACTTTGGATGTGTCAGGGGAAGGTGAACGGTTAAAGGGAGAAGGCAAACAGGAAGTGTCCCTCTGGGAGATCACACCTGCAAATGAGTATACCACACCCTGTAACTTCACCCTTGAACAGTGTTTTGGACCTCCTCTCCTTTATACCCAACAAAGCCATTTGCACCCTTACCTTAGGATGTTTCAAACACTTTCAATTTTCTCTCTCCCAGGGACAAAATGTTACCAGCAAATAAGAGCGGCCTCAAACAGACTTTATTATGGGTCACACAGGGCACCAGAGTGTCTTAGAGGATTGAGAATATTGAGCTGCAGGCTGCTCCTGTTTTTTGTTTGTTTGTTTGTTTGTTTGTTTGTTTGTTTTGGGGGTTGGGGTGGGGAATCGGAAATGCTGGTGCTTCAGCTCTGAGTAGCCATGATTTGAATTGCTTTGGACCGGTGTGTTTCTGGAGCAATTAGTTTGTGAAAATCCCAGACAGACTTTCTCTGGTTACCCTGGAAACCAAGACTTGATTCGAAAAGGGAAAGAATTCCGTGGTTTCTGTCATCCAGGTCTCTGCCCTGATTTGTCACCAGAAATTGTGGCTGGATCACATCATCACAATCCTTCTCAATAAACCTTCCAAATCATATTCCCTAGCGGGAAGCACATGAGCTCTGGGGCTGTTTTCTGTCATTGTTTCCACTCTTGCTCTGTGGAGGCAGTTTGCTGTCGTTAAGGTATTTCCCCCAAAGGTATCCCATTTTCCTAACCCTTGCACTCTGCAGGCTTGAGCCAACTTGGCGACAGTGCTCCTGAGAGAACATGTTCACAGAGCCGGGTTGGCAATACCTGTCAGGCTCAGGGGCATCCGCAGAACCCAGAGCCCAGGCCTCCCCTGCGCAGCCGGAGCTGCGGCTGTGCGGGGCCATGCCACCTCCTCACCATCCCTCCTTCCCTCCCTCCCAGAGACCTGTGGCCCGATGCACTCACGCGACACGCTGCGGGGATGGTGACCACAGCGGAGACCTCTAGACCGGTCAGGGCGTGGACAGTGCCTTGCTCGGCAGAGCCTCGGGAATGGCTGGCTATGACAGTAGATTACTCGCTTCAGCCAATCAGCGTGGCCTTTGGCTCGGGGAGGGGCTCGGTTCCCGCGGACGCTCGGGGTGTCCTTCCGGTGCAGGCGCCGCGAGCCGGGAGGTGGGTGGGGCGGGTCAGGGCGGCAAATTCCAACTTGCCGCGGCTGCTAGAGCCGGTGGCTTTGGGGGAAGGCCGAGAAGGCGGCGTGGCAGTGTCCTTCCCGAGCCTGTAAGAACGCCCCCGGCAAACGGCAGGAAGGTAAACAGGAAAGGAAAGCAGCGGCCGGAATGTCCGTGTTGCCGCCTGCGTTTTCCCTGCTAGCACCCTTCCCAGCCGTGTCTGCTCCCCAGCCTCGCGGAGGAAGCACTCAGGCTCGATGCGCCCCGGGTGGGAAAGCGGCTTGTATAGATGCTCCCAGCGTCAGTCCTCCGTTCACATAGCCCGCAGGGAAAATTGGCACCTGTTTGTGGGAGCGGGTGTGTTGCAAGGGCTGAAAGCTTTTGAAGGGAGATGAGCAGCTTCACCCCGAGGTGAGGGGTTGGGTCTCTGCGTGCAGACCAAACCTGCCTGATTCCAGCCCCGGCTCTGTCGCCCCCAGCCTCTCACTGTGTCAGGCTGCTGCGACCTGTAATCTCGAGGGGACCGGGGAGAGGAGCGGTTACGAAAGCCGGTGGTGAGAGCCGGCCTGCGGAAGAGGAATCACGCTCCAGGGGAAGCCGTGCCCGCCTTCGGCAGAGAAGGTGAAAACGGCAGCCTGGAGGAGGGACGGGTCTTGTGCCTGCAGAGAAGCCATAGGAGTTACCAAGAATGTGAAACACGCAGGGTTGATACAGTCAACATTTGATGATACATCAAAGAGACCTGTTCTCTGCCCGGAAGGCTGGGAGCAGAAGTGGTTAACCTTTTCGCTCTCTGGGTGGGCACGACTGTACGCGATCCTCCCACCATAAGCTTGTTTTTCTCAGTCAATCTATAGAACCTGTGTCACATGCAGTCCACCTACCGAACCCATCTTGGTTTTTCAAAGACTTGCTTATTTCTAGACAGTCCGTATAAACGACGTGAACGTCTACTGGCTTTTATTTTAATACTACGGTCTGTGTTGATCTAAGTTGTAATACGGGAGCTGGTGAGATGGCTCCTGGGTAAATGTGCTCGCCACCTTGAGACCCAGTTCTATCCCTGAGATCCACATGGTGGAAGGAAATAACCCATCACTGCAAGCTGTCCTCTGATAGTCATTAAGTGTTTCACGCATGCGCGTGCGCGCACACACACACACACACACACACACACACACACTAAATAAATGTTAAGTGTAAATTTGAAATAAAAATTAAACGGATAAATTGCAGCGTAGATTATTGCTCCATTTCTTGCTGGGGCTAAATAACAGTCCAGTTATATGGATATAGCACATGTCGTGTGTCCATTCAGAATCGACGGATGTTTGGGTGATTCTATTTGGGTGTACTGTGGATAACATTGTTAGTTTTGTGAGCATATTTTTCAGGTATCTCGGGCGTATCTGTAGGAATAGAATTGCTGGGGCACACAGTAAGACAGGGTTTGACTGAGGGACCTGAAAAACAAAAACAAAAACATACCATGATGGCAGTGGCTAAGAATGCTCATTTCACTGTCCGCCTGGGTGGTGCTGCGTGGCACACATCGGAGCCAGAGTTCTGGGTTTCAATCCCACTTGTATCATTTCCTATCATGTAAGCTTGGGCAGCTTACTTGTGCTGTATGTCTCAATCTCTTCTTTCGACACGGGGTTTTTCTGTGTAACCTTGGCTGTAGACCAGGCTGGCCTCGAACTCACAGAGATCCCCTGCCTCTGCCTCCCTGAGTGCTGGGATCACAGGCGTGGTGCCAACCAGATCCAGATCCAGAGGCTTTCAATTATTATTGTGATTTCTTCTTATTGAGTTGATGGACTTTTCTTTTTTTAATGATGCTGCAGCTGGTCAAGGTTTGTCACAGAAATGCAGTAACTGAAGATAACAGCAATGGAGGTGAGCAGGAAAGCCAAGGAGGGCCGCTCTGAGCAGGGGCAGTTATATTTCGGAGTGTAACCTGAATCAAATGAGGCGTCTTGTGGCTCAGCTGAAGCATTTCATAGCATCCGAAAAATCATACCCTTGAGTGGGGAAGCACTGGGGAAGAATGATGAGGGCATGGGACTTTAAACTTTCTCAGCTGTATGTAAATACGCCGCACAGCAGATGAGCAGGAAACTTGCAGACGATTCTCTCTTGCTTTTCGGCTATGATGTCACTGTTGTTTGGCTTAGGCCCCACTAACTTCCTTCTCCTGTAAACTATGCAACTCATAGGACCCTGTTCTCAACCTGCAAATTTCAGCTTCCTGTCCCGAGAACTTCAAACTGGTCTCCTCCTCCCCTGAATGACCTCCTCTTCCTCCTCCTTCGGATAACGGTCTCTGAACTCTGAGAACCGGGGCTGAAGAGATAGCTCGTCCAGTTAGGGACTCTTCTGACACAGACATAGATGAAGAGAAAACACCCATACATACGAGATAAATAAAAATTTAAAAAGAAAATAAAATGATCTGCTCTATTATAAGTGATACCCTGAGACGAACACATACACATATGTGTATGTATGTATGTATGTAGGTATGTGTATGTACACACATATGTGTGGTTTTGGTTTCTGTCTCTTTTTCTGGCATATAATTTTTAGAAACCACTGTAACTGTCCGATTAATAAGGGTGCTTGGTAATCTTTTGTTCTGAAATATGATCCACATAGCGACTGATTCTTTGGAATTTCCTGAGAGCTGGAAGACTTTTGTTCTAGGGAAGTGACCCTTGTGAGTTCCTGGATTTGAGCTGGTCATCAGAAAGGCCAAACTATGATCAGAAGCGTGCCTTTTTCATCTGTAACTCCCGCCCTCCACAAAGGCAAGAAGGGCTGAAGGCCGAATTGGTTGCTGATGAGATCTCTATAAAGTTCTCTGAGCTAGAGGGCTCAAGGAGCTGGGTTGCCCAACACCCAGAGGTTCCTGGAGGGTAGTCAGCCCAAAGAAGAGCAGGAAAGCGCCTCCTGCCCCCACCTGGCCGTGCTTTTCCCTTTGTCCATCTTCACCTGTCTCGGGAAGGCGAACTCTGTCTCCCAGTTTCTCCATTAACTCTAATTAAACAAACCAGAAGGAGTCGTGGGGTCCCTAGTGAACAGCTAGTCCATCAGAAGCTACTTAAGACTGGCATCTGTCATGGGTCCATCCCATGATGCTTTACCTTTGACTTGGGGGATGTGACTTTCCTTCCCCACAGGTAGGGTTGGGATGGACTTGAACTGTAACTGTATCTCCTTAAGGCTCCTCCTCCACCTGCCTACTTCAGCCAGCTGGAGTGCTGTCTGAACATGGATCACATGACTCCCCTGCCTTAAACTATCCAGCGACTTTGCATTACAGTCAGAAGGCAACCTTTCCTCTTAAACCTCAAAGCCCTTCATGGCGTGGTGGAAGCCAACCTTTTAGACTCCAGCCATGATAATACTCTGTGCTAGAACTGCCAGGCTCACTCCCTTATGCACCAGCATTTCGTGCTGTGGAGGGCGTCCCTTCAGAGTGTTCCTGGTTAGATCCAGAAGCCACTTGGCGTATTGCCTTCCCCTCGACATGGTTGATCTTCAACACCAGCTAAACAGAACAGGAAGAGTAAGGGGGTTAGCTCCCCAGAGTGAACAGGGCAGGTGGGGTCTGAACAGGAAACAGTGAGGTCAGAGATAGCGTTAGAGATGTGTTCCACTCTTCAGCCCTGGCTGCCACTGTTTTTCCCTTGTCTGACCATTCCTCTACTCACTTTGTCCAGATCACAAAACTCAGAAATCATTTTCAGGGTTACTTCTCTCCTTACCTAGGCTTTTCTATTTCTGGAGGATACAAAAACTTCTTTAAGGGGTATGATCAACCTGATGGGAAAAAGAAAGGTCTGAGGGGCAGAAGTAGGTGGGGAAGTGAGGGAGTTATTCTCATATGCAAATCAGCGAAAGCAGCAGGCTGAGCGGCACCTTTCAATTACCATGGACAGCCTCGGTGAGGCCAGTTCAGTCACCAACTGCCTTCTCTGTAGCCCTTAAGCAATGCTTTTGTAAAAACAAACAAAACAAGTCACTCCTTCTAGGTCATGTCATAGAAACTGCTAGGGAGGTCTGACTTAATCCTCACATACACATCCTTATTTAACCAAAAGAACTCAGCCAAGAAGTGTGAGTCTGTAGAGTGAATTTTAATAGACCTGAACAGTCACAACTGCGCTACCATATGAAAAGGCTCGAGTATTGGGTCTTGGCTCTACTTTTAGAGACCTATTGACTAGAAATGTGTTTGTCTGCGCATGTATGTGTAGGTACACAGTACACACATATATGTTTAAACTGGATTTCCACATATAAAGTCTATATTTGATTTTCAGTCAACCAACTACATTTAGGGAAACTGCCTTATTCCACTATCGGGGTTCAAAGGACATTTGGAAGAGGGGCCTATCTCAGCTGAGGGTCCACAGTCCATTCTACTTTTATTGATGGTGTTCAGAGTTGTACATTCCCTATAGATAGATTCTTAAGGCAATGTCATCCCCAGTGTCTTCCAAGTGAAGAATATAGAGATGCTTTGAGAATGTGAAAATCCTGTGACAGCCAAGCCAGTGGGCATCCCCATGCTCTCAATGCACTACTTGAGTAATTTCAGTGAATAAGTGAGAAAAGCAAGGACCGAAGAAGGCCCTCAAAGCCCAACAGTGAGAGTTTAACAGCTCTGTGGGGTGCCCGTGGTTTCACCTTAGAAAAAGCCGGCATTCCCGGTTCCCAGAAAGGCTTTCCGGCCTAGGCTAGGCTTCCCCCACCTGGATCCTGAGGAGCGGCAATACAGATCCCCAGCCTTCACAAAGAGCGTGCTTCGAGATGAGAAGTTCTTGAATGGCCAGGCGACTGAAGTTTCATTATGTCGAGGAACTTTGAGGAAGTCACCAAATCCACGATTTAAAAATATATTTCCTACTATACAGACACACCTACTTTCTAGAATTAAAGCCTGAGTCATTTGCTTGTTGTGTATGTTGGCACGTAAAGGTATATCAAGCCCGTCAGGTGTCTAGAAAGCGCTTGAAAGAAGTGGGAAATCGGGTGGTAATTTATTAAGGTGTCTGGGTTCTGCAGACCTTACGACTTTGGCTATTTTGTTTTTAAAGCTCTGACTGCTCAGTCATGAAGAGTTGAATTCGGGTCCTCGCGCCCAGAATAAAAGCAGTGATACCGGAGCTGTAGAGAAAGATAACCGATGTGGCCCTCTGGCCTCCATAGGCACCCTCCCTCACCCCCACGCCCCAGGGCGCCCCCACCCTAACAAAGCTGTGCTTCTTTTAGGAAACCTTATTTACAGGAAAGCTAGCACGAGTTTCACTTTCAGTTTCGTTTCTTCACAGGTTTTGCTTTCTTTTCTTTTCTTTCTTTCTTTCTTTCTTTTCAATGACCGGGTCTCACTAGTAGCCTGGTTATCCTGGAGCTCACGCTGTAGAGCAGGCTGACCTCCGGTTCACCGAGATCCACCTGTCTCCCGAGTGCTGGAATTAAAGGACCCCAGTTTCGTGTTTCTATAAACTGTGTGTGTTGCTATAAGCTGTGACTATCCCGAAGCTGACTCAAAAGTAACTCGTGTGCATCTATCTAATCCAGGGAGACCGGCCTCTGCTTGCGGGGGTGGGCAGGGTTTTCTTTTTTGTCCCCGGGTGGGCGGGCCTTTGTTCCGGAGATAAGAGCGGCGGAGTAGCCGGCGTCCGCCACTAGCCAGCCCGCCAGCACCTGCTTGTCACCAGACTCCGCCTGCAGGTAGGAAGTGCCTTCACGCCGAGTGGGGCGGCGGCTTGCCGGGCGCTCCGGAGCCGGAATCCCTAGACCTTTTGAGGATGGAGAGGGGAGAAGGCAGCAGGGAAACGCGATGGGGTAACAGGCAGGAGAGCCCGGATTCCTGGCAAGTTAAGACCCCAGAATCGGCAGCTTGTCTGGTGATGAGGCTTTAATGTCAGTTTTGTGTGTGATGGACTGGACTGTGTGTTTATATATAGAATCTTGGGGTAGGTAGCTGGGTCAGAAGAGATGATGAATAATTGGTCCTAGCGCCGTTCTGACTGATCACTTGTAGCACTTGTAGCATCTCCTGAGGTCCCTGTCAAGGTCCAGGACGCTGGAGTCTAAGGTTTTGTCTCTGTCTGCCCAGAGGACCTAAAGGAGTTCTGGAAGAAAATGCCAAAATTTCTTAGGCACAGTGACCTTGGCTATGTCAAAGTTTAGGTTGCGGTAGTGGTAAGAAAAGAAAGCATAGTGTTCTTTCTTATTATTTTTTTTTAACTGAATAAATTATTGCAAGTGCCTCCCTACGAAATTACATAGACAGGTTTTTTTAATTGCTGTGTTCTATTGTTCTGGGTAATTAAAGGGCCTCACTCTCCATTGATGGATGCCCAGGGTTGTTTACAGGGCTTACTCCCTCTGCCGTACACTGATCAGCGCTGTGTGTACGTGCCTGGCAACATAGCTGTGTATTTCAAGTAGGTAAACTCTTATATGTGTAACTACTTAGTTCGGTCTGAGTATCGGAAAGACCTTTTTAATGGAAGACATTGAAGATGCATTCCAGAAAGTATGGGCAGCTGATGATGACCGTGACCCGAAGTATTTAAGGAGAACTTTAAACTCTGAAAATACGAGCCTTTTCCAGCTGAGCAGCTCACCCAGCAAGTCAGGGCAGCAGGTACAGTCTGTACGGTGGAGCGGAGAGGAAGGGAATTTGAGCACAGGGTTTAGGATCATTGGAGAGAATTTGAAAATCTGGTAAATCTTCACTCTTACCTTTGAGAAAAGAAGCTTGCATCTGCTTCTCTCCTGCCCTGGGAAGACAGAGAAGTGGTGTTCCATGATGTACAAGTGGACTTCCCCTGGGACAAACCTATTTCCCCATCTTGAATGAGCCATCACTTCTTCCCCAGTTCATACTCTGTCGCCCTGAGAACATCTCTGCTCTTGTGTGGGAACCTGTGAAAGGTTACAGTCTCTTGCCTGAGGAAGATGATCCCAGTGCCCTTCCACCGACTAAGAGGTGCAGGTTTAGAGGTCAAAGACCATGCTGGTTTATATGGTGCCTGGCTTCCTCTTTCCATCTCCCACTACTCGCAGCTGCACTGTGAGAGACAGGCAGGAGAGGGTAAGGTACTGCTATGACTCTCAGACATAACCCATCTCTCTTCTGTAGACTTTTAGACTAAGCTTTTAAAGCAGGCTCATAATTAACAAGTGTTCCAACCGAGTCTGCCATCAGCATATTAGGCGTAGCCCTGTAGCCCCTCAGTGGGCGTCATGTACCTCAGTGTGACTCTCTAAAAATGGCTTGGCCGTTTCTCCCACCGCCTCATTGCAACAGCACTGTGCCCTCACAGGCTTAGATGTCATCCCGACTCATCTCCTGGAGAGAAAAAAATTTAAATATGTGTGTAATACTAGCAAGAGGATAATGAGTCATTTTATTTTGCTCTTTTTGTATATGCCCCTTTGTATTTTGTTTTCTTGGGGGTTTTTTGGTGGTGGTGGTGGTGGTGGTGGTTTGGGTTCTTTGAGACAGAGTTTCACTATGTAGCCTGGGCTGGCCTCTAACTCAGGCCTCTTGTCTCAGTCTCTCAGATGCTGTTACATTTATCCTTTTCTATCATCAAGGATTCATAACAGTCAATAAGAAGCTTATGACTATAACAGACAAAATAAATGATTATGTGATTATTACCAAGAGCTAAACATTTATTCAAAAAATTCAAGTTGGCATTTTTCAAGAATTGAATTAGGAAAAAAAAAAGTTCAAAAATAATGTCAGCACCAGGGGGAAGGTGCAATGGTATCAATTTTTAGAATGTGTCGCCAACTGGGAAAATAGTCCTTCTCTGCTGATCAGCAATTCTCTCTAGCGAAAGCTATCATACAGCATAACCTTGGACCTGACACAGGCAGGTACTCACCAAACATTGGCTAAATGCACAAATTCTTACGGCTTTGAAAAGGAGGGACAAAAAGACCCAACACCTAACATCAAAGGAGCTAAAAAATTAAGGGCCCATTAAATACAAGACTTAAGGAAGTTATGTCATAACCTTAAATCATAAAAATTAAGGTGTAGAACAGCTGGGGCTACAGAGGCAGCTCAGAGGTTAAAAGCGCCTACTGCACTTCCAAGGGACCTACAACCATCTGTAATTCCCACTGCCCCTGAGGGCACCAGGCACACGCGTGGTCCACATACACATAAGCAGGCAAGACATTCTTACAACAATAAATACATCTTAAAAATGTAAAGGAAAACCATCTCCTCATACAGGAAAAGGTTGAAAAATTATTGACAGACGTGCTCAGAGCAGTCAGTTTTTCCATCTTCGCACTAGTGGCATTGTAGGCTGTCTCGGTCAGTCTCTATGGTCAGGTGCTGTCCTACGCCTTGGCAGAGGTCTCGGTAGCATCTTGGGCCTCTGTCACATCGGTAGCAGCTCTCCTCCTTCCCAAACAAACTTTGGCAACCAGTATGTCAGCCAATATTACCAAATGCTTCCTGTAGGAGAGTGAGGGTAATGTGCTCACGTAGTTTCTATAGCAACGACAAACTATAAAGATAACTAATATGGTCATTATGTCTCAGTGGAGAGGTTTGAATTCTATTTCTAAGGTCCTTCCCAAGAAAACTGGTAGGTGAAATGATTAATTTTTTTTTCTAATAATCAAAGTAAAATGTTCATTCACTCATTTCTAAGTTGGACAAACACAGAGAAAATGAATAAACAATTCATGATCTCTCTTTTTCTAAGTTTCTTCTTTTAAAAAGCATAAATGGGTGAGAGGGTACCTGTGTTTCCTGTGACAATCATGCCTACTTTTGCAGATAATCCCTGCCAGGCTGTGTTTTCAGATACGCAAGCGTGTTTCTGCTGTACACGCTGCCCTCCAAGTTTCTTCCTACATCTTTGCACACTCATTCCCTGGGCACGTCCTTAATTCTCTGTCCCTTGCGGTACCTACACAGTTTTATTTAGCCATTAGACGAAATGGGGTATTTCAAGTCTGGGATTGTCAGCGGTGGCGTCCCTGTTTTTTATGTTTATTTTAATTTTTTTAGGGTGAATTTCTAAGCCGGGGGTGAAGTTATTATGACATACACACTTGAAGTTTTAACAGATTCCTGAATTGACCTTTAAAAACAACTACACAATTTCATATCCTTGCCAGTAAAGGTCAAGAAATCCTGTCTGCCTGTACCTTCAGCAATACTAAAACGCGGGATCTGTAGTTTTGGTAGAGCAAAAGGTCAAACATGTTACCATAAATCTTCAGTATACTTACAGAGAGCATCCTTCTCTGTCTCTGCCATTTTTATTTTTTATTCTGTGAACTCTATGAGACTTGTCGTTTTCCTCTTGAGCTATGCATAGTTTTCTTACCGAGTTTTAGAGACTGGATACCAGAAGCCTTAGTCTTCTGCTTCGTACAGATTGTGTGTCAGAGGTCAGAGAAACTCGAAGAGGGAACGCCGACTTTCCTATGGAAGTTGTAAACATGGGAATAACATGGAAGAGGGAAAAAGTGCTAACTCTGAATGCACATTATCAATGGGGGGGCGCTTATAACTCAATTTAAAGACATTCAGCTCATCAGCTTTCTTTTCACTTGGTTCTATATGGTTCTGGGTTACAAAAGGAAAGCGTTCTTGAGCTTTGTAGCTGTGTTTTCACAAACCAGTCACTGGCCAGCTATGGGAACTGCGTCAGTCAGCTGGCCCGTCTGTGCTCTCTGCACTGGCTTTTAGGGCTTGTTTACCCAGTAGAAGGACAGTCCCCTCCTGGTGTCACTCTGCTGGGCTATGGAGTTAAGCGGTCCCCCTTCTCTGTTTCCCATTTTTAGGTAATTCCAGAACCATGAGGACGCGTGCCTCCGTTATATTCGCAGCCTGCTGTCAGTTGCTAAGCGGTAAGTCGCCAGATATGTTCGGTGGGTTCCGTGTTTTCAATGTTTTAACCGCGAGTTAAAAACTGAAGTAATTGTGTGTGTGCGCGTATGAGGTGTGTGTGGGAGGGGGTATGTGTACTTGCCTTTGCTAGGTACACATGTGGGGTCAAAGGACAACTCTGAGGCTTGGTCCTTACCTTCTACCTTGTCTGAGACAAAGTCTCTCACTTGTTTTTCCTTGCCGAGTACTTCTGGCTCAAAGCCTTCTGGGGAGTCTCCTGTCTCCATTTCCCACCTGACTGTAGAAGCCCTGAGATTGCAGGTGCATTGTACTGCACCTGGCTTTCACGTGGGCTCTGGGGATTTGAACTCAGGTCCGCATGATGCACAGCAAGCTGTTCAGTAGCTGAGCACCCTAGCCCATAAAATAACTTAAGGAAATATGCTTTAAAGCACATCCTAGATTTCCTTCTTTATAAATAAGTTACTTGTATCGTTGTAAAAGTGAGGAGCTGTGGGTGCAGTTTAGCAGTAGAACACTTAGCTGGCATATACAAGGCCCTGGATTCAGGTCCAGCACTGGAAACAAACTAAAGAACAAACAAACAAATAAACAGGGTTGGGGTGAATATAAAAGTATAGGCAAGACAAAATTAACAGATTATCTATTTCCTATGACTAACTACTGAATATTCCTGGGGAAATGGCCCACTGATAATCTATTTTTATTTACTGGTTTCTTTTAAACAAGGCTAGGAATCTGCTCTCTAGATTGCTTCCCCCGCCCCCCATGAACCTGACTCCCTAGCTAATGTGATCGTAACCCTTTACCCACATGGGTAAACTCCAATGGGGTTGGAGTTTTCCGTCCTCTGAAGGCCTGCCCTCTTTCTTTTCAGCATTTACCATCACGGCTCCCAAGGACCTGTACGTGGTAGAGTATGGCAGCAATATCACGATGGAATGCAGATTCCCAGTGGAACACGAACTGGACTTGCATGAGTTAATTGTCTACTGGGAAAAGGAAGACAAGCAAGTGATTCAGTTTGTGAAAGGAGAGACGGACCTGAAGCTTCAGCACGGCAGCTTCAGGGACAGAGCCTGGTTGCCAACGGACCAGCTCTTAAAGGGAAACGCCGCGCTTCAGATCACCGACGTGAAGCTGCAGGACGCAGGGGTTTACTGCTGCCTGATCAGCTATGGCGGCGCGGACTACAAGCGGATCACTTTGAAAGTCAATGGTAAGGATGGCTCTGGAGAAGGCAGGCTTGATCTTTGTTGAAAACGTCTTCCTAGTGTTGGGGGCTTTTCATTCTTGGAAGTTCACACCTACTTCTCACAGAACAGCAGCAACCTGTTGGTTGGTTCATTCATTCACGTATTCATTCACTTGTTCACGCACTCCACCAATGAATACTCCTAGCATCTTGTGTTTGACAGTAACTTGAGATCCAGTAGCAGAAAATACACAGCTATGCTTTGTGTATGCAAAGACAAAATGCCAGATGTTTGCTTATTATCATAAGTGATGTATATATTCAGACATCCTGGAAAGGAATAGGATTATATAAAAAACGTTCCTCCTCCCTTCAGCACCATCTTCCGTGGCATACATATACAGTACCTACTCTTTATGAATCCTTCCAGAACATTTTTTGTTGGATTGCTATTTATTTTTATTTTATTAGGCATATATACATATATATCCTACTGTAAGGTTTATGTTAAAAAAAGACTTCAGGTTAATCTATAAGAGATGAAGAGTGTTGATGCTAAGAAACCACTCTTCCACAGAGGTGGTCCATTCATCTCCAATGCTTGTGTTAGTGTTATCTGGGAGCGCTGAGGAGGAACCAGGAGTGTGTGTTCCTGGATAATGACCCACAAAAATGTCATCAGGTCACTTGAATTCAAGGTTTGTGGTTGGAACTAGCTAAGGGAAGGAAAATACCTTAAGAACCACCCCTGCTTTCACTGCTAGGTTTCATAGAACTGAGAGCAGCCGACATCCCAGGCGTGCGCACAGCCAGTCCTAATGTCCGCTAGGACCAGAAATCCCCAAGACTCTTTTCTTCACAGACCTCCCACAGTGGTGTCCCTCCAATTTGGAACCCCTGGCTGTGGTCTGCTGAAACTTCTCCCTGTGTGACTGAGCTGAACTGTCTTCTCCAGGCAAACATTTGAGATGGTCTACCTGCTTTTTGTTTTCATTATAACTTCAAAAATGTTTGACTGGAATTAGATAATCTCCTTTGACCTTTTTTATCTCTAAACTAGTGTGAAGGTCAGTATTTGCAAACATTCATACTTCTCATGAGGGATCACGACTATTATTAACTCAAAATTATGTAGACATTAGGAAAAAAAATGTGTCCACTTGATGGTAAATAAATGGGTCTCTAAAGCTGTATTGCCATCCATAACGCTCCATGGTTATGAAAATGTCACTTCTCTTATTTTATCGCATGGCTTTATCTTCATTTATCTTTTACTTATAACTCTTTATTTGTGACATTCATGAAGAAAGAGTCAGGCTGTGGCTGTTCATATCTTGAGCATGTGTGAGTACATCAGTGAATATGATACATCTATTTTGTTCCAAGACATCTAAAGAAATTATGAAGCTTGAAGGCTGTGAACAGTCAAGGTTGCTGAACCTGGGACGGGAAAAAAAACACACAATCTCGGTAGTCAGGGAGTGGGAAGCTAGAGTTGAAAACTGTATGCAGAGATGTCTCATGCTTGGTGGGAGTCGCTGACTTTGTGATGAGGAAGAATTTACTCTAGATTAGCTGCTCAACAGTATCTTTGATGCGAAAGGCAGTCTTCTGTAAGCTTAAGGCTTCTCCATGGAGGAATCTTTGATGGGGCAAAGCTGATAGGCAAGCAGACATGGAGGTCTGTTGTGACTATTTTATCTTCTTTTAGAAATTGCTACATTGGCTTCTTGTTCCCAAGTCATCTTGTCATTTGCAGTCAGTGGTTTGGATGCTCAGCCGATCTAGACCAGGGATCTGAATCTTGGCTTTGGTAGGTGTTGTGGCTCAAATTAGTAATCTCAACTACATGGGAGGCTGAGGCAGGAGACTCACACAATTAGGCTTTGTCTGCCCTACACACACACACACAGCTCAGTGGTAGTTCACTTGCGCGTACAGGAGCCTGGGTTCAATTCCTAGCACCCTGGTGGCTGCTCTTAGACGCCAAGGAAGAACTCCTGAGTCATCTCCTATGCAAATTATTTCATAGTAATGAGGCTCGCTTCTCTTCCCATCACTGTGAGAGTGTGGTAACAAAGCTTCCCCGTAGGGGGTTCACTCACCATGGAATTTTAAAGGTGAAACATTTCAAAACTGAAACCTGAAAGAGTGTAGTTTTGGATTAACTCAATTTGTATTATCTCTTTGGGTGCTAGTCTCCTTTCAAAAGTTTGCAGAAGACCCTCAGGCATCTGGCTTTCAGCTGAAAATGTTTAGCTTTAATCACTGAACTTAATATCAGAAAAAAATGAAACATCCGTTTAATATTTCTTGGACCTTAGATGTATTAAGCAGCTGTACGGTCTCTTTCCTTCTTCTTGAACAAAAACTCTAGGGCAGGGGGTTTGGTCTGTTTTATTGTTGTGCCCCTTGGCCTTGGTGAACAATGAAGTTCCAGTGTGATAAGAAAAGAAAAGAAAGTTTGTTGAGGGAATGGTTTGTTTCAAAAACGATTAGCTTAAAATGTTTGCTATACGAACAGGCTTGAATATGAAAATTTTTATTTCCTCATGGCCGTGGGAACTCTCTTAGACCTGCTGAAGCAGTGATGATAAAAGGGGAGAACAGCTGTGCTCACAGGAGTCTTAATCTGACTAGTAATGGAAGGTGTAGATGCTACAATTAACACACATGCAACACCCAATAGATGTTAGGCCGTGCACCAGGCTTTTTGCTCACATGGATTCATTCAATCTTTAACATGACCCTTTGGGGGAGGCACTTGCTCATAACCATGGTATTTTTTTTTTCCTATTTACCATCTTTCAAATCTGAATGTGTCTTTCAATAGGTGGCATCTTAGATTCAATGATATGTAGCATTATTCTTCCCATTTTAAGGCTTTAAAAAACTGAGAGCCAAGCCGGGCATGGTCTCAGCACTCAGAGAGGCAGAGACAGGTAGATCTATGTGAGTTCGAGGTCTAGTCTACAAAGTGAGTCCAGGATAGCCAAGGCTACACAGAGAAACCCTGTCTCAAAAAACCTAGATAGATAGATAGATAGATAGATAGATAGATAGATAGATAGATAGATAGATAAAATTAAGGGCCAAAGAAATAATGCAATTTGCCTAAATTCTACCCAGATAAAAATTATAAAGCCAGGTTCTAAACCTTAACTAGCCCATTCCTAGCCCCTTTTAACCGTTTTGTTGCCCTACCTTTGTATCTCTCTAGTGTGTTTCAAGATACATAATGGCTTTAAAAGTAACTCGAACATTCTGTGGTCTGGAACACTATGGTAGCACAGTGCTCTAGAGCTAAACCAGAGGTCTAAAAACAAAACAAACAAGCCTTGTCTATTCTGCCTTTAAAGTGTTATAAACTCGTATGTGATTATAAAGGATATATTCGGTACCAGTACATAGCTTGTATCATAAAAAATTGTCATTGTGCAGATCAAAAGAAAACTTGCTGATTTCATAATGGTTGGTTCAACCTAATGAATGATACATTTTAGTAATGTACACATATCCAAAAGAAGAAATAGATGGAACCAACCATGTTCGTATCACCTTGCCAGTTCTGACATTCAGCATCAGTGTATGCTATGATGAAATTCGCCATTAACAGATGGAGATGGTCCAATAGTATTGAAGCTTATTTCAGACAATGCATGATCATATCCAACTCAATATTTTTTTTAAACTTCAGAAGGTGGTTGGTAAAGTCCCTTCTGACATTTTGTTTTGCTTTGTGTTGAATTGTCAGCCTTATCTTCAATCCCCACTTTCTTTGAGGAGACTTTTTGATGTGCTCATTTTTAGAGAAGGTGGCTTCAATTCAAAGTAGACAAGAGAATCTGAAAAATCTGTAGTAACTCAAATAGGAATGAGCACCCTCCCCTTTTCCTGTGGCAGACAGTCAGACCCAGTGACAGGCAGTCAGACCCAGTCACAGCCATCCACACTCCTGAGGTCTAAGTAATTTAACAGATATGATAGCAAAAATGCAAGTAGACCTTCTAATGCTTCCCTCCTGTGTCCTCGTGAATGTGCTCATCATAGAGACGAATGCTGCGGAGGCCTAATCAGTTCTTCTAAATGAAGCATCGTTCTCCTTTAATCATGAAAAAATGATCGCAGGAAGCAAATATCTCGCTCCAGATGTTTTATCACTGACAGTGATTTTAAATTTAAGCCTTTAATTTCCCAGAAAAAAGAAATCATCATGTGCTATGTGAGGAAGATCCTATCGCAGCGCCACTGTTTCACGAAGTGCCTATTTAATAACATAATCGTTGGTGTCACCTTTAATTGTCCTTAAATGTGATAAATATAAGACCGGCAGCTCAGGAGCTTATAAAGGTCGCGAATTGCACGTTGTTGTAAATAAAAAAAAATTGGTGTTGGGTTGTATAATGTTTATTATTAGCCCTAAGATTATCACTGCGGTATTATATAACCTGGCTATCACAAATAATAAGACACAGACACCTGTTAGGTTTTATAATTGCCTTATTTACCTTGGGCCGGGCAGATATTTCACCTACGCTGGCTCAATATTCTCACCATCCATCCCCCAGCCCCCATCCAATGCCATCCATCTCAATCCTCCTCATCTGGTCTACCTTCCATTCATAATCCCATGGTACTTGCTTGTATTTTTCATCTGGGCCTTTTTATGCCATTGTTGGAGTCCTTTCCTTTGGTCTACATGTTTTTGTTTTTGTTTTTGTTTTCTCCACAATAACCTATCATGGTGTCCTCCTTCCTCCTTTCTTTTGGTTCGTTTCCCTGTCGTTCTCCTGTCCTTTCCAAGCCTGGGAACCTGAGCCATGCCTACCCCATTCTGCCCTGCCCAAGGATTGGCCCTTTAACCAACCAATCAGGTTTGTCTTAGGCAGGTTTATAAAACAAGGATAGGTGTCACCAGATCTTGAGGACCAGTAACACGCATCAGGCCAACCTCCAACACTTGCATGTTTTGAAATCATAATTACACCTATTTTTTTGGTGGTCATTTTCTTGATTCAAGGGCAACAAAACACCATGCTATTTCAGCTTTGTTTTGTCCTCGCCGCTCTGTGTCAAGTTTCTGTAATAATATCATATTACAAAGCTCTTACTGTGCTTTTGGCAGTGGAGTAGGGAACTTAGACGCTATTGTAGGCTCTAAGCGGCACTGTGAGTAAGACAATGATTACTGCATAAACAAATATATTTTATAGTTAGGTGGAAAGACCTGTGGTTTCAAGGTGACCATTTATTTAATTTAGTTGATACATTTAGTTTGAGGCCAATAAACACCTTGGTGTGGTATTTACAGCAATGTGGTTGTTCCTGAAAGCCTGATTTGGCTCAGATTTGAACAAAAGACCTTAGGCAGACTAGCACACATTCCCTGCTGAGTTGGAGACATATTTCTCTACTGACCAGTCCGAGTTGATGCTTTTTGTAAGCAGACAACACCAAGCTACATGCCTAGCCCTGCGATGGGAGAGAGAGCCCTGACCTCTTTTTCCTTATGACCTAGCCCCATACCGCAAAATCAACCAGAGAATTTCCACCGATCCAGCCACTTCTGAGCATGAACTGACCTGCCAGGCTGAGGGTTATCCAGAGGCTGAAGTCATCTGGACGAACAGCGACCACCAGTCTCTGAGTGGCAAGACTACTGTCACCTCCTCCCAGACCGAGGAAAAGCTTTTTAATGTGACCAGCACTCTGAAGGTCAACGCGACAGCTAATGATGTGTTCTACTGTTCATTTTTGAGATTACAGTCAGGGGAAAACCACACGGCTCAGTTGATCATCCCGGGTAAGCTGCCCAACTCTGTCCCCTGTCCCCTAGCATGAAGGCTGCCCATCATGGTCATTTGGTGGTAGTTGGCTGAGTGTACGAATAGATAACACTTATATAGCTAAATGTATGCTCGTTCCTTGCTTTCTGGCCCCCAAGCCATAATAAACATTTGGCGAGTATTTCTTATATTTGCTGTATGCTTATCACTGAGTATTCACAGACAGATAGGACATAAGTCACTGTGCTCCAGCAAACAGCAGCTGCATGTAGGAAACGCTCTTGTAGCTGGGGCACACCCTGGGGAACGTGAGAGCGAGACTCAGCTTCCGCTTTGGGAATCTGAATCTTAGCACATCAGCGTAGGAAGCAAATGCATCGTCTTTTTGTATCTTATTCTTAATAGAAGGATCCTTCCCCCATCTCCCCCTTCAAGGCAGTCTTTGATGTGTAAACTGCAGCAATCCTGCTGTGCACATAGAACATGAGGCTAATGTCTCTTGGCAACCTACTTGCTGGATTATAACTCACGAGGCAAGGGCACTGTGGTGATAGCATGAGCTGGAGTGTATGAAAATGATTTGAGAGTTCAGCTTTTTTGTTTTTTGGTTTGTTTGTTTGTTGTTTGTTTCAAGACAGGTAGCCCTGGCTGTCCTGGACTTGCCATGTACACCAGGCTGGCCTCGAACTCACGGAGATCCGCCTGCCTCTGCACTCAGCTGGGATCACAGGTGTGCGCCACCTCAGCCGGCTAAGAGTTCAGCTGTTTTGTAAACACATTACCTTACAGAAATAGGTGGGATGAGAGGCAGTCTGATGAGGAGCTTAGAGCATTATGATGACATAAATTCGGAGGTACTCTGAAGAGAATTGCACCTGCCTCCATCTATTCCCCTAGTGACAGAAATACTCTGGGAAGCTTAGAGAGGATAAGTAAAACTAGGTAGAAAAGTCAACCGATATGAAAATACAGCCCAGGGTGGGCTTGGAACCAAAAGGAGCACGCATGTTTAGAAAACAAGAAAGACACTCACATTGGAGTTGGACTTTCTCATAAAAGCTGTATTGCTCGTTTCCTGCCATTAAGTGCTGCTTTATGAGGCTGGTGATGCAGCTCAGTTGGGAGAGAACTTGCCTAGCAACCACAAAGATCTGCTCCCCAGCGCCAGATAAGCTTGGTGATGTAGAGCTCACCTGTAATCCAAACACTTGGGTAGTGGAAGCAGAGGATCAGAAGTTCAAGGTCATCAGCTCCATTTCAAGTTCAAGGCCAGTGTGGAGTACAAGAGACCCTGCCTCAAAGACAAAAGAAACAAACATCACCATAATAAAACAACAAAAAGCTGTTTTCTGTCAATTCATCCTGGAGTAACTTAAACCGATCTGTGTCTATCTTCTCATCTGTAACTTGGTCTTTTTTTTTTTTTAAATACTGGGAAGGTCTGACTTACAATATTATTTTGAAATGCTAGTAAGATATATATGAACAAGGTGTATAAACCATGTGTAGCTAAGTCTCATTGATCTCAGGTGGTTCATAGTGGGACCACATAGGAACTGACTTACGACAAGACATGGGAGTTAGCAATCCTTATGCCACGGGACCCATTTTCCTCATTCATAAAACTCGGGACAGAGAAACTGGAGAGGGAAGCCAGTGACTAGAATTTCCAGAGGGTGTCAGACACTGAAGAAGAGTGACAAGCATTGTCCCTGATCGTGACTGTAGGTGTGGGAAGCAGACCCTGCTTAACAGAGCCCAGCAGTCTCCCACGCTCTCGAGTGGCTCTTCCACGCCAGCTGGCTGTTAGCATCTATATTAAAGAGTACGCACGAAGTTACTTCACCGAGGTTTCCGCTTAATGTTGTAGTCGCTCTCTGCGGCACTGCGGTAAACATGTCACAGGCCTGGAGCTCTCCTGCTCAGTGCTGCTTCCAGTTTCTTAGGAGACCTTCTCCTCCTTCCAGCCCTGGATGACCATTAACTTTTAGTAATTAAGGTTACCCTAAAACCACACTAGATGCAAGAATGATCGTTAACCTGACATTTCCTAGCAAAACTTTATCTCTCTCTCTTTTTCAGAGCCACCTGCAGTATTTCTCCCAAATAAGAGGACTCATTGGGCTCTTCTGGGATCCTTCCTATTGTTCTTTGCGGTAGCATCCATAGTCCTCGTCTGCTTGAGAAAACAAGGTATGCATTTCCTTCCTTGCCTCGGTCTCTGTGCTGCCTGGGGGGAAGTGCATGAAGGTTCTCTTACTGTGGCATTGGTGCCAGAGATGATGGCTGCCCTGACCTGACCAGAGCAGCCCGGCATCTGGCTCAGGGAGCTGTCTGAGCCAGCAAGCTAGCAGAGCCTCACTGGGAAATGCTGACTTGAAGGCTGCTGCCTTTCCTTCTCAGGGCTGGCCTTGAGTTAGACAAAGTAAGGTTTAGCTGTGACTCTGTGTACCAGGTCCTCCTCAAGTCCTGCTCATGCTGCGATTCTGCAGCACCCATCTCCTGCCTTGGAGTGCGGTGCCGAACCCTACTGTGATTTGGAGGGGTGTGAGTTGGGCAAGGGCTCAGGGGAGCTAAAAGTAGCACTGTGAGGCCCACCGTGCCCAGAGCTGGGCAGCATTGCCCTGTGGAGTGTGGAGATGAGGGGAAGGGGGATGGGAAGCAATGGAGGCCGAGGAAAGCCACAATGTTTAATTTTACATGCAGATAACCACAGACTTTGAAGACACCACGGTGTCTGTTGGCCTCAGCTGAATTCAAGTCTTGTCTTCCTTCTAACACCCTATTGAGCTGGGTTCTGGGTACCCTACGTAGGAAAATATTTCCATCTAAAAATAACTGTGGTATCTTTACCATAAAGCATTTTTTTTTTTGCAAGATTTCTGAGGGCACTATGACATAGTATTTTTAATAACTTCCATATATTTATTTCAGTACTTACACATAAGAATGATTAAATCTAGGAAAATGAGTATATTCAAATAACGCTTTCCCACTGTAAGATGACTTAAACTAAACTACCCCCCGCCCCAGTACTTCGAAATGTATGCCAAGTGAGCCAGTGATGTTTGGACTTGTCTGAAGTCAAAGAGGGAAGTAGAATTATGGGAGGGAATGCCAGTCTTCAGAGAGGAATTCCCCACCACCTCTTCGGAGGGTGAGTGTGTGGAGAAAGCCATGTAACTGAGGAGGCAACTCTCAGCTTCTCCCAAAGAACAGGCCCTGGACACAATCGAGAGGGTTGCCAGGATGTGAGGATTAAGTTTCAGTGACACATCTGCACTGGGACTATTTCTGGACTTGGCAAAAAGGAAGTAATAGTTGCCAATTTGCATCTGGAAGGCTCGGTTGAGAATGGGAATGGCAGAGAATCTTTAGGTAGCTCAGGATGTGGGACATCTCTCCGGGAAGGATGGGAAGCCGAGCAGACAGTCCTCAAAGACATTTAGGAAAGTATGTGTCCCAAACTGTTGAATGGTTGACTTTGGGGTTGGGAACCTGGAACGAGGAAGTCCGAGGACTGAAAGCCTGGTGATTAGGGCTTAGTCTTCTCGAAAAAACCTGAAATTGAAAGTGGAGGCTCTGTGGGATGTAGCGCTGGGCTGTGAGGACTTAAGATCGGTTTCTTCTTATTCAGTGAGAATGCTAGACGTGGAGAAATGCAGCGCCGCAGATACAAACTCGAAAAAACAAAACGGTAAGTGTGAGTAGCAGAGCGGTGGGCAAACTGAAGGGAAATGAAGGGCAAAGCAACCAGGCAGGCTCCTGCAGGGCTGCAGGTCCGGTGCTCTGTAGGCTGAGGCAGGAGAATGCGGAGTTGCAGGCCGGCCTGAACCACGAAAACAAACAAACAAACAAACAAACGAACGAACAAACAAAACTAAAACAAAACAAAAAGAAGAAAAGAGAAAGCTATTGTAACAACAAGAGAAATCTACTAGTCAGGACCTCCTCCTTTCAGAGGAGGCTGTTTCTGTGGGGGCTGGCCTCCTCTGCCTCAGAACTCCCACATCTGAGGAAATTCTGGGATGGCCCTGCAGAGCTTTATGCAAAGAGCTAGGGAGGGGCAGCCTCTGTCTGCTGCTCCTGCTCTGCAACCAGGGACAGTGCTGGCTTAGATGAAGAGGTAATTAAGTAATCTGCTGTGTGGCTAGCTGTTAACTGTTTCGTGTGGGGGATCTGGCATTTCATTTCATCACCCTGCCCCCAAACAATCAGGTCTGTATGAGAGTCATCTCCACTCCACAGTAGAGAAAGCAGGGCCGAGAGGACAGTGTGAGAACACAGCTGTTCTTCTGTGTGTTTCAATTTATTCTGCTACTAACGTCCGTAGCTGTAAGATTAGAAAAGGCTCAACCTGCCAACTGAACTAAATTTTTTTAGTAAGTTGACTTTGTGAGCCCAGGACTAAAGTGGTCTGGTCAACTTGGGCAGACCCGGGCAGGTTCCCTCATGTGCTAATATCAGCAGATGTGCTGTTGAATCACCCGAGGCACCAGCCTTGCTTGCTCAGAACTGAGGGTTTCTCAGCCCAGCGAACTTCAGAAGCAGAGCAGTCACAGACCAACAAGGGTGGTTAGATGTCCTCCATCATGTAAGTGTAGAGTCGGACAGAACTTGTCTCTGTCTTATTGTGACAGTATCATATGATCTAGCAGAAATCAAATTCATTTCTCCTACGCATCCTACGCCCCCCCCCACCCCTAAGAAATTACTGTACTGTGCTCCTTCTCCAGACACACAGTTCGAGGAGACGTAAGCAGCGCCGAGTCCTCTGATTGTCAAGGCGGGATTTTGGCAGCTGGTGGTCTGTGAGTGAAGGGGCCCACGGCATGTGTGTCCAAGGACTCAAAATGGAACCTGGGAAGAGAAGAGAACAAAGAGAGAAGGTGCTGGAAGGGGAGCCGGGGACAAAGAATATTTCCCCAGGAGGCACCGCTAAGCAGGTGGTCCCTCAGTCACAAGGACGCTTCTCCGGCAAGCTGGCCATCAGTCATCTTCAGAAAGCGGGTTGAGAACTCCCAACTCAACAGCTGGTCCTTGCGGGAGTGCCCTGTTCCTCCACTCTGTGCCTGGACGAGACCGAGGGTCACAAGTGTTGAAGTATGAGTGTCTTCTATTTATTTTGAGTCGGCGTGTTCTCGCCTTGGGGAGCGTGGCTGTGACTGGTTCGATCTGAAAGACACAGGAGACGTTAGAATGTAGTCACCAAACCCAACTGCTGCTTAGCATCTTGTCCATGGCTAGAGAAGCCTGCTCATCCGAGAGGTGCTTGCTGTCCTCTGTACCTACCGGTACAAGCACGGAGGACAGTGACTGGTTTGACAGGCTCTTGCTGTTTGACTTGAACCGTCTTTATTCTCAGTCCTCGAGGCTCTATAGTAGAACTTGTTCCGTTTAAGTATCAGCTTTACAAGTGTCTCATAACTACATGCAAGCAATTTCATCTCATCGCCATAGCAACCCTCATGGAAACCTCGATGATGCTCACTTCACAGCCCAGGAAGCTGAGTGACGAAGGAACTTGCCTACAGAATAACGACCCTCAGATTTCCGTTCTTCAGCCACTGTTCTTTCAGGATACAATTCGTAGCTAAGAAATTAATCTTTAAAAAGTGTTTAGTAGGTAGCGTTGCGCCTCACACACCACGGCACGTGCACTGTGGGGCCCTTGAGCAGAGAGATGTAAACCAGCGTGCCGGCAGGATATGCTTATGCCAGTTCCATACTCAAAGCAATGCTCGTTACCACGGAGTCTGGAAAGTCACTCTCGGGTTCCTTGTCTAGCATTATACCTATCCCTGATTTGTTATCTTTGCCATACAGTCTCACGTTCGCCATGAAGTGTCTACTATTGCTTAGTAGTTCTTTTTATTTTTCTATTTAAATAGTCTCAAGGGTTGGGGAAAAGGCTCAGTTGGTAAAATTCCTCACAGGTATGACACCCTGAGTTTGATCGCCAGAACCTACATTAAAACAAAACAAAACAAGACAAAAACAGTTGGGTTTGTCGGTGCCTGTTTTCGCTCCCAGCGCTGGGGCGGCAGAGACAGGCGGCTCCCTAGCTCTCCCTGGCCAGCCAGACTCGCCTGCTCGGTAAGCTCCAGGTTCACCAGAACTGACGCCTCAGAAATGACGTGGACAGAGCCTGAGAAGTGATGCCTCATACACAAATGCACACACACATGGACTTACACAGCACACAGTAAAACACCTACGTGCACCCACACACACATAGTCCAAATACATAACAAAAGGGAACTGACTTCGAATGGTCCCAAAGACAAAATAACCAAACCAAACCTAATTTAACTCTATTCTATCACCCCAATCCTGTTATTCCCTTCCTGGAAACAACTGCTATCGTTTTTTTGCACATATACATTCCCAAAGACAGCTAATAGGCAGAGCTATATGTTACCATATCTATATCTATTTATATTTAATTCCTAAGTGGTGGCTCTTTGTTCATTTCCTGCGCACTTCGCCCTTTTTATTTAACGTACTGATCCCTATGCAGCTGCCGGAACTGACTGAAAGATCCAAGAAGGGAACTAACCGCCTCCTGTCTAGGTTTTCTTTCCCACCCCTCTGGGTGCCTCCCACACCGTCCAGGCCAGGCACCGCCTGCCGTCTGTATCTGTGTTTCTAAACACCGCTTACCTCCTCGACGCCGGAGTCTGCGTCTGCCTTATTTTCCTGTCTGCTCAACGGGAGCATTAGTCCCCAGAGTGTGCTGAGTCAGCCCGGTATTCAGGGGAAGTCTTCTCTGTAACTCCGCGACAGAAGCAGAGCTGGAGCAGTGTCGTAGTTGTTTTTCCCTCTACCTCTCAGACACCGCTTCCCCACTTGCTTATTATAGGCTCCCTGGACATTTCAGCGTGGCTCCTTGAATGCTGGCTGCCCTGGACCTGTAAGACGGTCTATTTATTCACTTTATTTGAAATCTTAATACTGTCTCACAGTGTTGGATTGGCAAGGCACTTTATTTTATTTTGCATCTGACTGTCATTTGTATTGCATTAATTTAATAAATGTTATTATTTATTAGGCATTTGTGTGTTTTGTTTTTTTACTTAATCAAACCACTCCCAGTTTAACCTCTAGTGAGAACAGTCACTTAGAATATTTGCATTCCTGCCTTGATTCTTTTTCCCCCACACAGCTTCCATGTTTGCGTAGCAGTTTATTGAATCCTGAACGATGAATACTATCAAAATAATTCATTGAAAATCATTTATTAGGAGCTGGAGAAAGTTCTGTGGCTCAGAGCGCTTGCTGCTCTCGCAGAAGGCACATGTTCAGCTCACAGCGGCCACATGGCTGCTCACAACCACGCTCCAGGGAGCCATCCAATCCAACACCCTTCTCTGGCCTCCGTGGGCACAGTACACACACGGTACACATACATGCGTGCAGGCAAGACATTCAAACGCATAAAAGAAAGATAAGTCTTAAAGATCTAACAAGCAATTTCAGTCTCTTTCGCCATACAGTTTTAGGAAAACATGAAGAAAACGGTCAAAAGTCTTTCATCCAAATTGAAGATCTGGGGTGCAGTGGGAGAAGAAGGAGTGGCTCTCACAGAACCAGGGAAGTGAAAGGCTTTGCTTTAAGAGCGCTCACAGATTAGTGAACATGGAGGTGCCCTGGCATTGCACCCTGAAAGCTACGTGTGCTCCCGTCTTCAGGTTTTGAAGGGAACCGAGAAACCTGGAACCAGATGAAATTCAGGGGCAGGACCCAAGACATGATTCCCTCACAATGCCCGCTAAAATGGAACGGGGAGTCACAGAACATGGAGATGTTTGTCGTGGAAACGCAAGCCTACTTTCTGGAGCTTAATGCTGCTTTGTACATCTCAGCTTTGGTGGGGGTCAGGAGAGGAAGGTTAACCCTTAGACTACAAAGATGAGGAGAGGAGACAGAAGGAACCATTCAGAGAAAACACATTCATCAACATGTTGGCTCCTGACACAATCCTGCCATGGAGGATTTCCATAAAGGGGAATCGTGCCTCCATGAAGCTTGCAGCCTTGCTAAAGAGACAATGTAAAAACTCATTGAGAACATTCATCCAACCTTACTTAATTAAACCAATAAAGTTCACTAACCACTTATTCAAAAACCGTTCATTCGTGTGTTAGAATGTGAGAGTTTAGGATGATGCCTCGGGATGGTGAGAGGAGAAGATGGTGAATTCTGAGCAGATGAGGTTAGATTTGGGTATGGTTTGTCTCTCAGATAGTCACAAACTGGAAGTTTGGTCTCCCGTGTGGTAGTAGAGATAGAATGGAACCTTTAAGAGATGATGACTGGTCCCAAAGGGGAATTGATGGTTTTCTGTGGGAAGTGAGTCATGTCATATGGTCAGTCTCCCTGGATGGGATTCATTGAGACCACGGTCGTTCTAAGAAGAGCTTAGTTTCCTCCCCTAGCTTTCTTTTCTCGTCTCTTTTCTCTATGATCCTTCTGCACACTGCCCTCTGTGCCCACTTGTGTCCCCGTCACGTGATACTACTCACTGTGCTTTGGTGCCATGAGGGTAGGGGAGGCTTTGCCAGGCGTGGGTGCCAACGTGGACTCTGAAGCCGCTGAAAACGTAAGCTAAAGAAACTCATTCTCCTTATAAAATAACTTTCTTCAAGTTTAAGCTGAAATCGAACCAATGGGGCAGGAGTTTTCCACAGTGGACAGCAGACTCTGCAGAATGGAGGAGAAGATGCCAACGTTTGATGTTCTTCCAGACAGCGTGAAGGCAACAAAGAGCGTCTGGTATGGACAGCGTGGGCATCAAGGGGCACCGCCCTTGTCTGGATAATCTGGCAATTTCTATCAGATTACAAAGGACCTAGCATTTCCACTTCTAAAGGTTCCCATGTGTGCTAGCTGTCACACATACAAGCTTAGCCATTGTGCCTTTCACCAAACAACCCAAATATCTGTGCACAGAGAACTGATTAAATAAATGCAGGTACATCTAAACAACAGAATACTTCACTAGACAGCTACAAAAGCAAATAAGGAATCCTCCTTGGAGCTATAGGGGAATAATCTCCAAGTGTATCTACTATTAAGAAAAATATAGAAGAAAGGATAAGTTATGCTACATTTGGGGCATTATATTAGTTTTATGTATAGTGTGCATGCTATAAATATTCATTTGCATGTCAGGTGCTAAGTATGGATATCTGTGCACATAATTTATACATTATAGACTTGATGTGTCTCTTCAGCAAATATAAATTTTGTGCTTTGGGAGGAGAAAACGTGTGCATTTTGCTTGTATTTGCAAAAAACATATAGTTAGAAGAACGAATGAGAGATTGATTTAAAACAATTGCATGCCTTATATGGCAAATTGGGACCCTAGTAGGTAAACTTCACCAAAATACCTCTTTTGTGGGAAAAACCCAAACAAACAATTTTTGTTTTTGAATGTTGTTTCCTTTTTTTTCTCCCCTCTCCCCCCTTTCTTTCCTTTCCTTGTCTTGACTGTCTTTCTCTCTCTCTCTCTTTCATTCTTTCTCTCTTTCTTTCTTGTCTATTTTTTAAGACAGAATTCCCTGTGTATTCCTGGCTGTCCTGGAGCTCACTCTGTAGACCAGTTTAACCTGGCACTCAGAGATCCACCTGTCTCAGCTGAGATTAAAGGCGTGTGCCAACACCCCCCAGCTATTTTTGAATGTTGTAAACGTATTATCTATTTCAAGTAACTAAGTTATAACTAAAAGCCTGAGCTCAATTATTTGCCAGGGTCTGTCTTTCCTTCACTTTAAAGAAAAATGTTAACCCTTGTTAATATATAAAGACAATGGAAACATCAACAGTTAGAGACTTTAAGAGCTTAATTCACTGTCCCTTGGATTTTGGTGTGGACCTGAATTCAACCAAATCAACTCATTTTTGTTTCTGTTTTTGACAGGTCCACTTCCCTGCATAGGGATCTGGTCTGTGAACACACACGCAGACTGTTTATTTAGGGGATCTGATTACATACATTGGACCTGAGTAATGAGCCATTATGAGCCATATTGGGCCATTCCAGAAGAATAAATGCACCACACCAGCCCACTGTTTATGCTTGCACAGATGAAATAATTGAGAGGTCTGGATCACAGCCAAGTCATAGGAATGACCCTCACTTGTGTTTGTCCAGTCTTTGAGAGGACCTAGAAGTTCCATTTCTAAAGTTTCCCACGTGTGCAAATTGTCACACATATAAGCTTTTCCATTGCACCTTTTTTCAGAATGAGAAAACATTAAAAACCTCACAGAATTCACAAGTGAATTCTGGCTTAACAAGGGTGGGGCTTTTTTTGGTCAGTAATTTGGGCCTTTGCTGAGTCTTGAAACCCCCTAAACCTAGGCTTTCCCTCTCACTGAATATCTTGGCTTCTTCCTGGGAAATTTGGCTGTCTGCTTTGAGATGAGGTATCCAACCTTCAAAACCACAAAAATGTCGTGTCACCTCAAAGCTTGAAGTGGAGAAAAATGAAAAGAGAAAGACTGTGAGATGCCACTCCACAGACAGCAACACTTACATGACTGAAACACATTGTGAGAACTTTTGTTGTGGCGGTGAGCACTGAATCAAAAGCCCGGGCACGCCTATAGAACAAAACAAATAAACAACCAGCCACCAATAAACATCAACAAAGAAACAAAACCCTCCTTCCAGCGGCAGCACCCAATAGAGAGTAAGTGTTCTCTGCCAGTCACCTCTTCCTTCTGGACACAGATGGCTTGGCAAGCTTGAATGAAGTCACGAATGCGAATTGTATATGAAACCAAATAAAGAGATCTCTTTTTAGGACACGGAAGAAGTTGAGGATGTCAAAAATAATTTCAATAATTCAGACATTTAGGAAATTAAAAAAAAAACTACATACATACAAACAAACAATTTGTATAAGCCAGGACCCTGACAACAGATTGGGAAAGAAAACCCCATGTCTGCATTGAGAAACCTACCTATGTGTACTTGGGAAGAAGATCAGGAGGGAGCCTTGACACCCAAACCAGTCATGACCTTAGGTATGTCACCTAACTTCCCTGAGCCTACTTTCTTTTGGTGAATGACATCAGGACTAATCACTGAACATCTGAGTGTCCAGCAGACCATCTGGCGTCGGTAGGCTGCAAGAAACTTATTGATAGCACCTATTTCAGGAAATGGTGCATCAAATTATTTTAAGATCCAGGAGCTCTATATCCATGAAGATTATTACTGCTCTAGGGGACTTAATGGAAGATTTAAACACTAGCTTAAAAATTGTTACGTTTTTAAAATATTTTTTAAAGTTTTATTTTAGAAGGTTTTTAAAGATTTGTTTATTTTATATTATGAGAATCAATGTTTTGCTTATATGCATCCCTCCTGTCCCATCCAGAGAGGACAGGAGGGGACGTCAGGGCCCTTGGCACTGGAGTCATAGAGAGTTGTGATCCATCACGTGGGCGATGGGAGCAGAACCCAGGTCCTCTGCAAGAGCAACGCCTGCTTCTAACCACTGAGCTACCTCTCCACCCACCCACCCCCAAAGTGTTTAAATTTCACAATCTATCTCTAGTTAATACATATGCGAATTAACGTTGTGGCAGAATGAAGAGCTAAATTGCTACACACTGATTTTGGAATTTTCATGATGTCAAAATTAGCTGGAATTTCTTTTCAATTTGTGCGTTTAGATTTCTGGCATCACTTTCTGTAGAGACTTTCTTTGGGTCTTGCACGTCAGGCAGTGGTGAATGACTGCAAAGCTCAGCTTAGACTGGATAACGTATTTGGGGTAATTCACTAAATGTTGACTTTGGATAAACCATGTTTTCTCTGTCATAGCTGGGCCATGACCTTTCTGAGAGGACCCTTGCTCTGTAGCTACCTACCTACTAGTCACTTAGAAGTGATCTGGTTTATCAGATCAACTGTCTCAAGGTTGCAGTGCTTGTGTCCAAGTGACCCTTATTCACTTAATAACAGTCCCTAAGCCACCATTGATGGTGGTGATGGAAATGGAGATATCCAAATAAGAAATCATGGCATGCTTTTCT